CTGTTCCCTTTACGTGTAAAACGAGTCAAATGGCAGTGCCACAAAACTATTATTTCTAACACATGCACTTTATGAACTTCAAGCACCGGTGAATTAATTAAGCAGTTCCCTGTAAGAGTGATGGGCCGTTATACCATCATATTACCTTTCTTAGAGGAGCCAATTTTTTGACATTATTCAGCGTCAATGTCAACACTTATCGATAGCTTAGCCCTTCGTTATCATCCTTTAATTCTTTGAAATCATCCAATCTATCTCTCAAACGAAGAACTAATCGTTACCTTGACCCCCACAGTGACGTCCGCTGCCTTTGTCACGACACCACAGTAATGCTACTGTCATTTTGAGGACTGCATCAACATAATGACTACGTGTGAGTCCATGGAAAAGTTAATAAAGTTGTTTTCCCCTCTAACTTCTTGCTCTTATCCTCAGGACGCGTTCAGCGGCTGTCAGATCCTGCCATGCTCCCACAAGGTTCACAGAGAGTGTGTCATTGCCATGATACAGAATGGCGTGTAAGTACACCTTAAAAGTCCTCACACTACGTCAGATTCCGTTTATTTCAATCTCTTTTCATTTTTCTTTCAGCCGCAGCTGTCCCATTTGCCGTCAGCCGCTGTTTGGTTCGATGTAATACACCAGTAGACAGTCTGGATTGATTACCAGACTTAAATGTTCTGGTAGTTAAACTGATTGAAAGGTATTTTTAATTAGATAAAGAATACACACGAGTTATGCAACGCTATCTTGTGTTTCTGTAAACCATGGAAATGCCACGAGACTCTTTTAATTTTTTGGGATGGACATGCATTGGGGTATTCAGTAGTGTACCACGTGAGAGTGTGCCATCTGAAAGGAAGTACAGTGGCTAACACAGTCGATACGACAAACTCGCAGACTTTATTTTAAATGACCTGGAACTGCCACGGTATTGTGTAAGGTCACCGCTGAAAACGTATTCAAAATTGAAACACTTTTGTATTCCGATTGAAAGTATGCATTCTACGCTGTCATATGCGCTGTGTAGGTTAGGGTTGCGTTTCGAAAGAAAACAAAGGGTTTTTTTTGGTTGTGCTTGATTTTAGTATTGATTGGACTGGGAAATTCCATAGAAAAATGTAAATTATCATACATTTCCATTGAGACTTTGTGCACAATTGTAAAATATATCGGGGAGATGATGAAAATCTCTCAAAAGAAAGAGGATCAACGTGCTTGTTTCCAGTGGTACGGGGCTGACAAATGCGCACGATTCTCTCGCATATGTTTATAACATGCAAACCCAACTCTTGGCAAAAAAGAACTCTGCTTTTTTAACCTTTTAACCTTCCTTTCCCTTTTCACGCAAAATCTACCTAAATCCCACTAATTAAACACTTATGAGTCATAATAATCAAGAGATTANCACAAAACTGCCAGGCGCAACGACAAAATTGAGCTTACACGGCCCGCTCAAACAAGAACCTATCCTGAACTGAACATCAGCTAAATCCAGTTTATCCAGGTAAGCCCAGAATTTTCTTACGGTACTTCATATGAATGCGTACGGAGAGGTCTGTTTGGTACAGCACGTATCGCGGCAACAAAACCGGAACTTGTTCATCCTGCAATCTGGCAGACAAATGATCGGAATGTCACGACGGCTGAAAAAATCTAACCCTTTCAATTGTTATGGTTACTGTTGAAAGTTTAACTTCCTGTGCAGTGAAGTAGTCAGTGCTAGTAGTGTGTACATAACATAATGTTAATTGAGATGCACTCTTGGGTAAACTTAATGGAGGGAAAATCAGCAATCAGGTCGTCAATCACATGCCTTTGCTTTCGGAGCTGAGAAAGAAATGACCAACTGAAGGTCCCAATGGACGACAGAATTGATTACTTTTAACAGCTTGCGAATTCGATTAAAGAGGAGACATTCGTTATCAGTCGAGATATGCTCCATACAAGTCAAAAGCACACCTTGCTATGCAAGTCTGTAATTAACGTTATGATGATAAAAGTATCATGATAACCGCTCACGAACAGCTTCTGGATTGGGTTGAATAGGTAAAGAATCAGATGCTCGCTAAAAGCCAAGATATTCTTGTTTGAGAAGCATAACCTGCGATCTAGGTATTAGAAGTTAAGGAGATGTGAGTGCGTTTCTCTTGAGTACTCGTGATTTGCTTTCATTTTGAGCTAGCCATGTATAAAATTAATGCGCATTTCGATCAAGTGTTACTAGAAACCAAAACTAAAGTAATCGTGACAGTCAGGCGGTGGAAAGGAAAACTGTCACAGGGAACCAATCGGAACTGAAAATAAAACTGACCAGAGTGCTTTACTCGCGTGATACGCAAGTGACCAAGACGTAATAAGGGAGTTTTAAATCTGATTGGCTGAGAGGATGGCGTGAGTTGCCTAAAACAGTCACCCTCCAAAGTAAAGTAAAAAGATAGCAATTCCGGATTATTTTCAACACCCGATTGAAAATTGCTCATGTAATTAAGCGCCATACGTTGCATTATTTATTTGTGTTGGACTTTTGGGGTAAACTAGCTCGAGCACCACGCACAAACGGGAGGCACCATGAGTCTATTCCGGAACCGTTTAATTCACTGTCTTAGATTGTCTCTTTGCTATTAAGTACAGCTGTAAGCGCACGCTCTCAAATACCATATCGGCAGGCATGTTTGGGCATACCGGGCAACTGACCTTGGTAGAGGAAAGATATTTTTAGAAAGCTAGACAAAACAATTCCACAGGACATTCGAAATGAACAACAAAGTATTAAACAACAACCAATCTTCGAAAACCAAAACCTAAACAAAGCATCCCATTCAGGACTCTAAGAAAGGTCAAGTACAAACCCAAACATGGCTAGTGATGACAACTATCGTACGAGCATTAAGCCCTATTACAACGGTCAAGGATACATCACTTAAAAGCTAAAATAAATGTTTGATCTTGCAGCACAAAACAGACCAAGGCTCACAACACTCGCATAAGTATTTCAAGATAATCTTACGAGCCTAGACAATTCCGGAACACTGAGCCAGAACGTTTCTAATTTTAGTAGTTCCCAGACACTTCTAATTTTAGTTACTCATAACCTGTGTCATGCTTGAGTGGTTTTCTGTGGGCAGCCATTACCGCCAAAAATACAATTAATTTGAGATGTTGTTAAAATAGAAATGGACAACTCTTCTTATACGGAATTAAATAGTGAAAAAATAAATCGTTTAGTCTTTTCAGAAAACGCTGAAATGTTTCCCTGGTTGAACTACTTCGATGAAATTAAAGTCTCATCCGAAATAGATCAGCTTAAATGATCAGTGCGAGTCAAGAGCGAGGGGCGCAAAACAAATAACGATAATAATTAGTAGAGTCGAACGTCGATTATCCGGACTCGTTGGGACTAGACGAAATAGTCCGGATAATCGAGAATATGAATATTAATGAGAAACAAAAACTGATTTAATTAAGAAAGCGACGTTTAATCCTGAAACGAACATTTCCCAATCGTTTTGAAAAAGATATGGTCTACATCTTCACTCTCCTACAGGAATACCTCTACACGCGTGTATTAACAATTAAAATTGATTAAAAAATTTTTTTACATTGGCCTTAAATGTTGAAGGTAGTCAGTTTGTCTTATAGAAGAACATCGCCTTTAATTGCATTTGAATGCTGTAATTTAAAAAGGAATATGGCTACGGATAAAAGTTCGGATAATCGAGAAATCCGGAAAATCGAGGTCCAGATGATCGAGGTTGGACTGTATAACGAATCTCATCGGTTACGCCTGACTAAGATTAAAAGTTTACGTCTGAAAACTACCCGGCCGGGCCAGGTCAAACTCTTAGCTAAGTCCACTCTCTTAGTCTTGCTCTCTCGCCAGAAACACTTGCGAGGGAGCTGATTAAAGCTTTGACTTATAGCATTATTCAGCTTTATCATCAAAAGTTTGTTGATACTTCATTTCGATGAATTTTTGTTTTATTATATTTCCAGCCGTGATAAATTTGACGTAGAGAGATGGAAGGAACAGCCCCTAAGATCGCTAAGAACGCTTGTTCAGGACGCCATCTTGAGGATGAGTTGGAATGTGATGATAATCAGTCGGCCAAATGCAACACATTCAAACACTTTGAAGAAATGATAGATCAGATTCAGCTATGCAAAGTGAAAATGGCTACAGGGTCTTTCAAAGCTGCGTATAAGCACCTCCTGAACCTAAATCCATCTAGCTTCGGAAACCCAACTGATTACGAGAAGGAGCTGGTGAATCGAGGTAGAGAGATGTGTTTGAGTCAAAGCCCCGGTCCTCCTTTCTTTGGTGCGGTTTTGCTAAACA